TGTACTATAAGCGCCGACAAGCGTATAAACATATTTCCATAGTCAACCACAAGATTCTGCACCAAGTTGGAACTTGGAATATTGTCATCGAAGTTGTTGCATATTAAAGTTCGGTATTGATGATGACTTGATAATTATGATATCTCTCATTTTTGAGTCACCACTCACAACACCGACACACAGGGTAAAAAAGTCCTATGTAGTACATAGACGTCCGTGATTTTGCTGAAAAGTCGCGTCGTCCTGTGGTAGCGTTGGCCGTAGGGTCGTACACGATGACTGTGCTGAGTGTCTGAATATCCACTGTTCAGTGTATATACAATGAGTGTACACTGTTCCGTTACACCAGATAAATACCAAAGTGAGACGTGAGTCTCCCCCAGAGACTCCCTCTGGCATGTAGTGTTCTTGTTTTGCAATAAGCTATCTGCTTTTAAATACATTCCAGGGGTCTTGTCACACAATCACACTCATACAGTAATGTGCATGTAAGTGTAATGATTGGAAGTGCTTGACATATACATACATATATAACAACTTCCAGCAACCACTAGTCCTTCAACAAGCGATTTCTTTCCACTTGTTGCTTTGCTGAACCTCGTGCTTTATAACAACTAGCTCTATGACCCACATTATGCCTAAACATCTGTCCGTATAATATACACATGCACCTTCCTGCATATACAAGTCTATATGCACACAAGGAATGTGGGAGCTACTCAATCCAATCCCAATTAATGAGAAAAGAGTCACTCTAGAGCCGCACTTCTAGTGTATACATCGCCCTTTTCAATTTGCGGACAGGACCGAAAAGGGAACAGTCACAATTCTGCTACACACCCGGATATGTTAAATAAATCTCTTTTAAACAGGAGGCGATTGAAAACTCATCGATCGATATGTGCACCCAACGACTTTTACGTTTTTTCTTGGAGACTCGTTTATAATCCTATTGTTGTACAGCTATCTAAAACAACAACGCTTTAACAGTATATGCGTTCAGAACTTCTGATCTTAGAAGCACGGAGGATAGACCAGTGCGTTTTATTGTCATCACATCAGCCGTCAGATCATGTTGGCTTGCATCACTCAGGACTATCTAACTCTCTCAGCCTCCACCAAAGTTCCAAAATTAGTGGGCAGCCTGTGATGGGGGTGCACCGTAGAATTGCGCCAGGTACTCTGCAAGGGATAAGGACAATTTGATGTGCGATGTGAGCTTCATGGGTAGGGTACATATGCGTTTGTATCTATACAGATACGATACAAAGACACAGCGGTACAGGCGAGAAAATATACAAGAAAAATTGATAGCCGGTGTGCAAACGAACACAACCATGACGTGGGCTGAAGCATGTACGCACTCAACTTAATGGAAAAGAACGAACGTCGCTTTCAATTCACACGAGCGTAGCAACTCCTCGGAAGGCAAAGAGCTAATCACTGTACAACTCTTGGGTGTGTGTGATCGTGTATGTGCTTGTGCGTACGTTCAGTGCGATGGGCAGCTATCACAAGCGTGGTGTTTCTCACGCTGTTTGAATAGTAAACAAACACAGACACGATCAGTCTACCAGTTACAGTCTGTAAAATCTGACAGTAGAAATGCTGCTCTCACATGGGAATATATCATATGTCGGAGAAGCAAAATAGCTCAAGGTTCCTGGTGATCAAGGCTTATTGGGACAAGCACGAGGTCCACGTGGCGTTGCCTGAAAGCTGAGTTTCCACTGACGCGGACATGACGTTTCACTCGGCACTTGAATACGGAGAAAAATACACATATACAGCACAAAGAGACACAAAACCTCATGTGACTACACCGTTTTAAAGGAATGACAACGTCGCATGCAAATACGTACTTGACTCTGCCTTCATCTGCTCTGTGATGGGGATTGATGCCCAGACGAATCCAGTTCCAATAAAACCTGTTTATGAGATTATTTGGACAACGGTTCAGTTATAAAGAACACCATTGCTATACGTTTCAATTGTACCGCCTAGTAGGTGTTGGCACAAGGACATAATAGCGCGCCAAGTATAACTTGAGGCATAGGTATACGAACAAACAATACGAGATTTCACAGCCTATTTATGGGTCAGAGAGCGGCAACTAGACACGCTTACACTCTGTGTAAGCATCTCTCGGATAGAAATACAAATCGCACGTATAATAAGGATATTATGGAGATTGTAGGCACGTTTGAATAACTTCTACACTCTAGTGACGACACATAGGGACTGTAGCGTGCACACACAAAAATATATACAAACTTTTTTCTTAAACACATGTCTTACCGCAAACGAAAGGTGTAATTGGGCGGTAGACCCGGATTAGAGTTTGGAACATCTTCTGCAGAGCGAAAGAAAGGGTCGATATTAGTACCCCTTTAGTAATATGTCGAATGAATAAAAAGACAACAGTATTGTGCGAAATCTCAGTGAACGATGGCACTTGCCGTCTTCAACACACACACACATATATATACATGCACATATAGGATATCGACACATGCATACACGCATACGCACACGCATACACACGCACACACATATATAAATATATATATATATAGAACTTGTTCATGTATCAATTATGTGTACACATATATTA